GGAAATGTTAAATGTATTCCTCAGCACTGTACAAAAAGACATGCAAATAAAGTTAGAAAATAATAATGTTAAGATTATAGACTTGAAGTCTCTAAAAATCCAATGTGTTGACTTACTATGCTTTTGTCAATTGTTTCAAAGTTTTGTCATACTTACACACTGTGCTTCAAGTGCAGCATCATTTCTTGGGATTCTAGTAATAATGATTAACAATTGAAAATGACTAACTATAAAAAGTATTATTTTCATTTGTACAGTTAAGAAAAGCTTATTGAAAGTGCATCACTGAAGTACAAACTTGGATTTTATAGACATAATTGCACAACGAATAATGAGTAGTGTATCTACTCAACATGACTGGAAACCTAAACACACAAAATGTAGCTCTGTTCTGAACCTCAAAGTACTCATGAGCGGCAGCTGTGGCTACAATATACATAGAACAAATACATAGAACAAAATCCCCCAAAAATACTTGTGCACTATCCCAAATCTGCAACACAAAAAGGCGGGGACGTCCATGGAAAATAAAAGTGGTGGATGATTGTAGGATCCTTTCCATAGTAAAGTAAAAACATTTCACCACATCCAACCAAGTGGGGAACACAATCCAGGAGGTAGGCATATTATTATCTAAGTCTACCATAAAGAGAAGACTTCACAAGAGCAAATATAGAGGGTTTACCACATGGGCGTCCGCAGGAATTTTTCCAGGGGGGGACATAATTGTAATGACATCCATGCTTGGTACCTTTTTGACAGTGTCATGAAAGGGAAGGGGCATAGCCATTATCACATAAAGCCAGGGTGAGTAGCGTTTTCACAACTATGGTGTCAGGAATACATGTTTGTATTCCTGACACTATAGTGTTCCTTTAAGCAAATTAAAGGACCATTCTGGTCACCATTACAACTTCACCTAAATGAAAATGCTATGATGCCAGGAAGCCCCTGGGTGCTCGCTTTCCTTTAAGGGGTTAAATCTCTCTCAAATGGTTTAACCACAAAGGCTTCCTCCAGCTCCAGGTCGCTCAGTGGTATTTGGCTTCTGAAACAGAGTGTCAGGAAGTGCAGATTGACGTCAGGCATGGGTGCCACTGATTGGCTAGAGTGGACAGTTGACGCTCTAAGCCAATCGCTAGTTCCCGGTTCATAAAATATTTTTACTTTTTTATGAATGGGGAGCTACTGATTGGCTTAGAGTGCCAATCAGCAACACCCCTACCCAACGGCACTCTGTGCTTCCTGACACAGTAAATAAAAGTGAACACATACTGATATTTTTTTACCTTTGCAGATGAGAATGTCCAGCGTTTCCCTGCCTGGCCCAGGTACCAAAGCCTTATGATATGGTGTCTAGAATAAAGTGGAGGGTTCACTTAATTTGTCCTTCCTGCTCCAATCTCCTTTTCCTCTCCTTCATTTGACAGTCTTTTTTTTTCTTCTGACACTGTTTTCTATCCTTGGCCCCTTCTGCTCTTTTACCTTTCTGCTACTTTCTGCTTATTTAGCGCCCTTCTGCTCCTTTCTCATTCTGATCCCTTTCTGCTCCCTTTTCTATTTTATCTTTGTGCTCCTTCTGATTTTTTCTGCTCCTTTATCTTTGTGCTCCTTCCTGCTCCTTGCAGGCCCTTCCTGCTCATTCTCCTATTTTACCTTTGTGCTCCTTCTGCCCCTTCCAGCTCATTTCTGACCCTTTCTGCTCCTTCTACTTTACCTTTGTGCTGCTTTACCTTCCGGCTCCTTGCTGACCCTTCCTGTTCATTTCTGTTCCTTTGTGCTCCTTCTCCTACTTTACCTTTTGTGCTCCTTGCTGTCCCTTCCAGCTCCTTGCTGTCCCTTCCAGCTCCTTGCTGCCCCTTTCTGCTCCTTGATGTCCCTTCCTGCTCATTTCTGTTCCTTCTCCTTTTCTTACTTTACCTTCCTGCTCCTTGCTGACTCTTCATGTAGGCTGTCTCCCCCATCCCTCACTTCCATAGGCGTGCGCACGGGTGTGTCGAGTGTGCATGGGCACACCTTAATCCCTGCGGCACGCCAATGGATTGAAACCGGCAGGGGAGATCTCTGGATCTTCCTGGTCGGCTCATGCAGAGCCGACGCTATCCGAGCGGCGGCTCTGGTCCTAAGCCTCCATGGGCCGGTGGGGAGATCAAAGTTCTACCTCACTGGTCCACAGCAGCATGGAGGGAGGCAGCAGAGAACCCGGGCTAGAGTTCACTCTACACTGAACCACCAGGGAAGGCAGCAGGACTGGGATATTTACTAATCTGCCCTCACCTCCACCCAAACATACAGCACACACACACACACACACACACACACAGTACCTACACACAGCACACACAGCCCACAAACAGCACCCACACACATACTTCACCCTTGCACACACAGCACCCACACACATACAACACCCACACACACCCAGCACACTAACAGCATCCTCACAAACACACAAAACCCACACACAAACAGCACACTCACACACAAACAGCACCCTGACAAACACACAGCACACAAACAGCACAATAACAGGAACCGAACAAACACGCACACACAAACACCCTCTCTCTCTCACACACACACACACACACACACACACAGCACACTACCAGTTCCCTCACACACAGCACACAAACAGCACCCTCACACACACACACACACAGCAGTGTGTATATATATATATATATACACACACAAACATACATATACACGTGGCGTGTGTTTGTGCTTTAGGGTGCACACCCTAATGCAGCGCACGCCTATGCTCACTTCCCTAATCTATAGGCTGCCCCCCCATGCCTCACTCCCCTAATCTATAGGCTGCTGCCCCCTCAGCCTCACTCCCCTAATCTATAGGCTGCTGCCCCCTCACTCCCCTAATCATAGGATGCCCTCACCCTATCATAGCTGCCCCCCCAGCCTCACTCAATCTATAGCTGCCCCCTCACTCCCCTAATCTATAGACAGCCCCCTCACCTTCCTAATCTATAGGCTGCTGTCCCCAGCCTCACTAGGCTCCGCCCTCACTCCCTAATCTATAGGCTGTTCCCCTCACTCCCCTAATCTATAGGATGCCCCCCCTCACTCCCCAATCTATAGGCTGCTGCCCGCCTCACTCCCCATCTATAGGCTGCTGCCCCCGCTCCCCCCTAATCTATAGGCTGCTGTCCCCCCCCCACTCCCCTAATCTATAGACTGGTCCCCCTCACTCCCCTAATCTATAGGATGCCCCCCTCACTCTCCTAATCTATAGGCTGCTGCCCCCCAGCCTCACTCCCCATATCTATAGACTTCCCCCCTCACTCCCCTAATCTATAGGATGCTGCCCCCCCACTCCCCTAATCTATAGACTGCCACCCCTCACTCCCCTAATCTATAGGATGCCCCCTCTCTCATCTATAGGCTGCTGCCCCCTCACTCCCCTAATCTATAGACTGCCCCTCACTCCCTTAATCTATAGGATGCCCCTCACTCTCCTAATCTATAGGCTGCTCCCCCAGCCTCACTCCCCTAATCTATAGCTGCTGCCCCCAGCCTCACTCCCTAATCTATAGGCTGCTGCCCCTCACTCCCCAATCTATGGTCCCAGCTGCTGCCCCCCTCCCCACTAGGTGCCCCTCACTCCCTAATCTATAGGCTGCTGCCCCTCACTCCCTAATCTAGGATGCCCCCTCACTCCCCTAATCTATAGGCTGATGCCCCCCACTCCCCTAATCTATAGGCTGCTGCCCCCAGTCCCTAACCTATAGGATGCCCCCACTCCTAATCTATAGGCTGCTGCCCTCCCCAGCCTCACTCCCCTAATCTATAGGCTGCTGCCCCACTAAAAAAATCTATAGGCTATCTCAAACCCCTCACCCCATCCCCCACTTACCTGATCAGTAGGCTGTCTCTGGCTGCATGTGTTGTTCCCCTGCGGTTTCAATCAGCAGAGAGATGCAGGGATAAAATGCAGCTTCCTATCCCTGTCTCTCTCCATACACCTACTGGCCGGCGCCGGTATTGCAGTTCATTTTAAATTTCACACGAAAAATATCAGAACAAGCTGAAAAATCCAGGGGGGGCAAGTGCCCCCCATTGCCCCCCCCTGCGGACGCCCATGATTTACCACAAGGTAAACCATTCATAACCCCTTAAAAATAGAAAGGCCAGATTAGACTTTGCCAAAACACATCTAGAGTTCTAGAACAGCATTCTCTGGAAAGATAAAAATAGGATCAACCTCAAAATGATGGGAAGAAAATTATGAAGAATACTTGGAACAGCTCATAATCCGAAGCATACCACATCATCTGTAAAACAGGGTAGAAACAGTGTGATGACATGGGCATGGATGGCTTCCAATAGCACAGGGTCACTGTGTTTATAGATGATTTGACTGATGCCATTAGCACCTGAATGAATTCTGAAGTGATAGCATTGGAATATAGTGTCTGCTCAGATTCAGCTCGATTCAGTTGATTGGATTGGAGCTTTACTTTACAGATGGACAATGACCCAAAACATACTGCGAAAGCAACCCATGACTTTTTTTAAGGCAAAGAAGTGGAATATTCTGCATTGGCCAAGTCAATCACCTGATCTCAACCCGATCAAGCATGCATTTAATTTGCTGAAGACAAAACATAAAGACCCATGAACAAACAACAACTATAGACAGCTGCTGTAAAGAATTGGTAAAGCATCACAAAGGAAGGAACCCTGCATTTGGTGATGTCCATGCATTCCAGAGTTTAAGCAGTCATTGCATGCAAAGAATTCTCAAAACAGGATCAGAAATTAACATTTTGTTTATGTTTGTGTTAATGTGTCCAATTATATTTAAGCCCCTAAAATAAGGGGACTTTGTATGAAAATGATTGCCATCGATACCTAAGTATTTAATACAATATTTTTTACCCCTTGACTTAAAGCTGAAAGTCTGCACTTTAATTGCATCTCGGTTGTTTAATCTCAAATCCATTGGGGTGGCGTAGAGTGCCACATTATGAAAGTGTGCCAGTGTCCAAATATTTCCAGACCTAAGTGTGTGTGTGTGTGTGTGTGTATGTATATATGTATACACACACACACACACACTTAGGTCTGGAAATATTTGGACACTATATATATATACAGCCAAAAGGAATCAGCACTCCCAGGATTTATTCAAAAAACTAATAAACCGCTGTATTCTGTCCTGATGAAAGTTCCCTAGCGTAACTGAAACGTTGACCATTGGAATAAAGAAAAGTTTTCGTTTTTTGAATAAATCCTGGGAGTGCTGATTCCTTTTGGTATATATAAATTGTTGTAAGACACAATACACTATACATTATAAAACTCCCAGTCATCCATGGCTGGTTTCTGGTCACTAGCTCTTTTGGATCATAACCCATGCTTTGGTTTCAAAAAGTTGTGTTTTTGGATGACAGAAGATATTACATAGTATAGATGTTCACAATAATAAATACAACATAGCTGGTATGATCAGGTTTTCCACTATGCCCCCAATTATTAGCAGAAATTAGGCTTTTGTATTTCTTGATGGTCCAGCAAGTCACCTATTACCAGGGAAACTTTAGAATGATGTGCCAAAGCCCGGGAAGTTTGGCACCGTGCCAAAATCATAGAACTATGTGTAGCTAGATATTGAAAGCATATGTTAGAAATTGAGAAGTTACTTCATTCAGTGTATGTATCAAATATAAGTTTAAATTCTGGAAGACAAAATGGTTATAGCCACAAACACTTAATCATAGCTTCCAGGATAGCAAGGTAAACTCCTCAAAAAAGCAGTGATTCAGATCTGGAAGACTGTTCATAAGAGAGGGATCAGCTGATTGGGTGGTTAAGTCTCACCTGTTGACAGTTGATAAAGAACTTCTGCACATAGTGATGACTCATTATGATGTAGGCATTGCACCTGAAACTCAAAAATATGTAAAATATTAGACAGTACTGTTGCATTATGCTAAGACTTATTTTGCTACTTGATAATTTCTACAACTTGTTATGACATTTACATCGTTGGTCAATTGAACTTTTCCCCTTTGCCCACGATCAGGCATAGAAACATATGCCAGGCAGCTAAAATAATTACTAGTTGGCAGAAGTGGGGATTACTAATGAATCAGATGTGTTATCCACACTGAAAAGCTTAATTCTCTGTTTGTGTGATGATTATATTTAACAGAACCAGTGTACGCATTTTAAGTCCTGACCTGTCTTTATATTTGATAGTTTTGTTATCCTAATGTAGATTTTCTTGTATCTCCACATGCATTATAGGAAGAGAATTTGTAGTTTAAAATGTGTCACTGATCTTGTTTCCCAAAGATTTTTAGCATTTCTTATAGACTTGTGCATAGTGGAAAATTATTTTTGGCTAAACCACTTCATACAAAAATAAAAAAAAATATTTTGGAGTTCCTAATTTTTGGCCAGAGGCGGTTCATCCAAATTTCATTAATGAAAAAAGAGTCAGTAAAATGAATCAGATGTACCAAAAGGGTACAAAAATAGGCCAATCAGTTTACTGCAAAATATATACATAGTGTATATATTATACGTATATGTGGCAGACCTCTCTGCCTTTGGATTATTACTGTTTCGTTTGCTTGTTCGGTATTTGCCAGTTGTTCATATGGTTCTGCTTTCATTCACCTAAATACGAATGAACTACCGAATGGCAGGCCACCCAGCAGGGAAGTGTGCTGCTCGTTAACCTTTCGGCCCTCATTAACATTGTGGTTAACCGCAGTCACTTCCAACTCCCAAACGGTCGGCTGGGTGGTCTTCATTCGTATGAACGAGCACGTGGCGGCGGCCATCTTGGACAGTCGAACGCCCAGCGGTTCATTGACAAACTCGTGGAACTAATTTCGGATACTCCTTCCCACGAACACCGCTAAAAGGACCTACCCTTCATCGTTCTGTTCAAGGTTCATACGAACGCCGTGCCGTTTGGAAAATTGACAATGCACAAACAGAACTACCCAGATAGCCATCCCATAGAGCTCATTTGTTTAGTTGAAAGCACCCTGTACAAGACTGTTCCGTTATATTGAGCGCTCAGATCTAAGTTATCGGGGGATACGTTGAATGTGGGGATTCTGTTCGGTACATTTTGAAATATATATTTTTATGTGTTTTTACTGTTCATATAAAATGGAGACTATTCTTTATCCTTGGAAGTAATTAAGTTACTTCTAGCACTTAACCCAATTATCTCCAGGATAGAGAGGAGGAGTTGTAATGTTCACGTGGGAGTGTTTATTACTGTAAATATATGTGATTGGTTGCTGTACAAAACTGTCTCAGTCTTCCACAAGGTCCCTATGGGAGTATCCCTTGCTGGAAGACATGCATAAAAGGCTGACATGTAGCCCACATTAAACAGGTCCTGCTTGACCTTCAATACAGAGCCTCATCTCGTACTTGGGGGGATTATTCATGTGTTTCCTGTTCGGCGCTTAGGAGTGTTCATTAGTTGACTTGGTATTCGGGAAAGGGAACAGCTGGCGGCGTTAACCCCTTCTATTCCCGGGGTGCCGTTACATTATATATTTTTCAATACAGTGAGAGGAGCAATTTGTTGTCAATTGGTTTAGAGATTAATTGAGAAAAAGTAACCAGACAAAAAAAACGAATAAATGTAAGTGGATAAAAACGTGCAAAAGTACTGTTCAAATAACAACAAGTAGCACATGAAGGGATACCTTCTTTCCTTCACCCAATAAAATATGGGTAAACAATAGTGTATATAAGGGAGATCCACCTTATTTAAGAGAGAGTAGAATGCTGTGAATTAAAAATGTCAATAGTGCGTATAGGGAAATAAGATAACCCCTGTCTTTCTATGTAGATTAAAATAAATCTCAAATGCAGGTGAGGCATAAAAGAGAAAAAATAATACATATATATATATGTATATAGTGCAGATGGTATCGTCAAAATAGAGAAAGATATATTTTTGCACTCACATGGACCTGAGCCCAATATGTATGGCTCCGTTTGCACTGAGGTTGCACTGGTGTCTCTCTCAAATGGAAACAGGAAAGCAACAATAGTGCAGTATTTTGGAACTCAATGATGTAAATAAAAAGGTTGTATAATAACACTCACCTCACTCAGAAATCTTTGGTTCTTGGCTCTGAGGTTTAAAACCTGATGTCACTTTAATGGGGGTGCAAACGTGTGCAGCTGGAGTCTTGTAAATTACTTGGACTATTAAAGTGCTATATCATATGTCTATTAACATTAAAAATACAGTTAAAACATGAATTTAACAAAATGCTAAATAAATAGAATAAATCAACATATTCTGCTTATCAGAGTCCTGCCAAGTCATGTTTTTCTGTGAGTCTCTCTCAATTGGTGAGCACATATGCACACACACATATAGACACACATCCATAGGGACATGCTAGCACAAATACATATGCACACATATCCACAGACACTATTACACACATACAGTTGCAAGAAAAAGTATGTGAACCCTTTGGAATGATATGGATTTCTGCACAAATTGGTCATAAAATGTGATCTGATCATCATCTAAGTCACAACAATAGACAATCACAGTCTGCTTAAACTAATAACACACAAAGAATGAAATGTTGTCAAGTTTGAACACACCATGTAAACATTCACAGTGCAGGTGGGAAAAGTATGTGAACCCCTAGACTAATGACACCTCCAAGAGCCAACTGCAGTCCAATCAATGAGATGAGATTGGAGATGTTGGTTACAGCTGCCCTGCCCTATAAAAAACACACACCAGTTCTGGGTTTGCTTTTCACAAGAAGCATTGCCTGATGTGAATGATGCCTCACACAAATAAGCTCTCAGAAGACCTACGATTAAGAATTGTTGACTTGCATAAAGCTGGAAAGGGTTATAAAAGTATCTCCAAAAGCCTTGCTGCTCATCAGTCTATAAATGGAGAAAGTTCAGCACTGCTGCTACTCTCCCTAGGAGTGGCCGTCCTGTAAAGATGACTGCAAGAGCACAGCACAGACTGCTCAATGAGGTGAAGAAGAATCCTAGAGTGTCAGCTAAAGACTTACAAAAGTCACTGGCAAATGCTAACATCCCTGTAATACGTAAAACACTAAACTAGAATGGATTTCATGGGAGGATACCACAGAGGAAGCCACTGCTGTCCAAACAAAACATTGCTGCATGTTTACAGTTTGTACAAGAGCACCTGGATGTTCCACAGCAGTACTGGCAAAATATTCTGTGGACAGATAAAACCAAAGTTGAGTTGTTTGGAAGAAACACACAACACTGTGTGTGGCGAAAAAAAGGCACAGCACACCAACATCAAAACCTCATCCCAACTGTGAAGTATGGTGGTGGGGGCATCATGGTTTGGGGCTGCTTTGCTGCATCAGGACCTGGACGGATTGCTATCATCGAAGGTAAAATGAATTCCCAAGTTTATCAAGACATTTTGCAGGAGAACTTAAGGCCATCTGTCTACCAGCTGAGGCTCAACAGAAGATAGGTGTTGCAACATGACAATGACCCAAAGCATAGAAGTAAATCAACAGAACAACAGAATGGCTTAAACAGAAGAAAATAAGCCTTCTGAAGTGGCCCAGTCAGAGTCCTGACCTCAACCCGATTGAGATGCTGTGGCATGACATCAAGAAAGCGATTCACACCAGACATCCCAAGAATTTTGCTGAACTGAAACAGTTCTGTAAAGAGGAATGGTCAAGAATTACTCCTGACCGTTGTGCACGTTTGATCTGCAACTACAGGAAACGTTTGGTTGAAGTTATTGCTGGTTCACATACTTTTTCCACCTGCACTGTGAATGTTTACATGGTGTGTTCAATAAAACATGGCAACATTTCATTCTTTGTGTGTTATTAGTTTACAGAGACTGTGATTGTCTATTGTTGTGACTTAGATGATGATCAGATCACATTTTATGACCAATTTGTGCAGAAATCCATATAATTCCAAAGGGTTCACATACTTTTTCTTGCAACTGTACAGACACACACTAACAGGCACATGTTCCTTATTTTCCTACTTGCAGGTTACCTTTCCTAGTGTCAGGGTCTTACCTGAGATGGGAGTCTTTAGCGCAGAGATGTATGCTCATCCTTG